ATATATAGAATATATATTTATATATTAATTCATAATAATTTCAAAAAATGGTTTCCTTATATTATATTGTTAATTAATGAACTATATGATTTAAAAAAAATTTATATGATTTTAAAAAAGTATTTCTTGAAAGACTAAGACTGACTAGTTAAATATATAGGAAAAAATTAAAATCATTTATAATATATCATCTATAATATATTTAAAAAATATCGAAATAAAAAAATAAAAAGCTTTTTTTTTTGCAACTTCATTCAATATCTATATTTATAATTAATATCAACATAATAAACAATATTTATATAATTATCTCAATTATCCTTTCTCTGATTATCTATTTTTAATTACTAAATTATTATCTTTTCCGTAAATTCACAGTCGATAGCGTTTTATATATATATATATGACAAATTTAATTTAAATTTCTGAGTTCTTATTTGTAATTAGCTTTAATGTTTGATCTTAATTTTTGAGAATATTTGAAAAAAATTTGTTATTATTATATTGAATTTCACATATATTTATATATCCAATAAATCAATTAAAAAAATTATTTCATGAATTTTAATTAGCTTGAAATATTTTAATCTCCTTAATGAACATTAAATTAAATTAAAATAATTATATTTTTAGCTAATAATTTTATCATAATCTCAAAATAAAAAGTTGAAAAATATATTTATAATTAAAATAAGCACAAAATTTTAGAAAAATAATTTTTAAATATTACATATTAAATTTATTATTTTATATTATTATTTATTATTTTTTCTTAATAATTATCATAAATGAATTATAAATATATTTATATATATTAATTGCATTTTTAAGTTTCAACTAACACAATGCTAAGTGTTTTAATCTGTATTATTTTATATACATAATTATAAGTTATAACAAAAAAGATTTTTTTATTAATATCTCAGAATTTTTTTAGTAAATTTAAACATTTTTTATTACTTTAATTGAAATAAATATATAAGAAATTTTGTCAATTTTCTGTCTGATATTATAATAAAATATAACATAACTTTAATTAAATTTATTATATCTTAATGTTTTAATATATATTTTATCACAATAAAGATAGAGAAGAATCTCAAAAAAAAAAGAATAGTATTTTTTTAATAGTAATTATATGAAGAAAAAGAAAAAAAAAATTAAAAGTGGAGCAGTTGTTTCGTGCTATTTAAGTTGTAAATTGTACTTTATAATTTACGGAAGTTAAAATAAATAATTCTGAAATTGAGGTTAAATTATTAAAAACAAATAATTCATTTTCTTTTATCAAAATTATTTTAATCATATATCTTTTTTTTGCACATATATTATATAAATTATATAATATCATATAAATATTAAATAAATAAAAATTATAGAAAAAATATTGAACTTAAATTAATCATATAATTTTTTAGATAAATTTAATTATTATAAAATGAAATAAAGAGTAAATATCTGATAATAATCTTAAATAAATAAACAAAAATCAATGAAAAATCAATTAGATTGTAAATTTTTCAACTAATATTAATATAATAAATTTGTATTTTAAATATAAAACTTATATATATATATATGTATATTTTTTAATAAATATAATATGTCACGTTAATGTTGTACAATTATAAAATCTGAACTCATCCAATTTTACTAGAATATCACAAAAATTATAATTATTATTATCATATTCATTACTTTTATTAAAAATAAATATTAAAAATAAAATTTTACTAAAATAAGTTTCTCACAGTTTGTTTTTTTGTTGTTGTGTTTTTTTTCAATTTATTTAATATTAATTTTAATTGATTATACATACACAAAAAAAAGATTTTTTATTCCTTATTAATTTTTTTATTCCTTATAAAATTCCTTATGAACTGTTACTTCGTTATGTTTATTTTTTAATTCCAACCTATTAATAGAGAGAATAAGAAATATAAAGAAAATCATCAACAATTAATTTATTTTTTAATTTTTATTAATACATAAATATGTAGATATTATTTAAGTAATAATTTTAATCATTCAAATGAAAATATAATATTATAATATTATATTAAAATTATCTTTATATTCATTTTCTAAAAATTATCTAAATCTGTCTTTTATTATAAAATCACATATTATTTTTTTAAATATATTTTTAGAAAGCTTTAACATGTGTTTAAATTTTATAATTTTTAATGCTTGTGAATTCATGTAAACTGATTGAAAATTGTAATAATATTTGCTATATTTAATATTTAACTGATTTAATTGATTAAAAATTGCATAATTAATATTTGCTATATTTAATATTTAATATTTTCATTTTTATTGATTATATATATGCATTTTTGCAGCATTGCATTATGTATGTATATAATTTTTTTTATTCGAAGCAGCTATTATTATGCTGTTTTTTTATATATCAAATGGAAATTGTAAATTCTTTAATTAATAAAAAATTTTCTTGTTTCAGCGAATGTCAGAGACAACTGACTAGAATTGTTGATGATATGGGAGAGGCTTCTGCCAAAGCTCAAGGTCTGAATAAGCCAATAACCAGCGCCTTAAAACTTCGAGATACGGATCATATAGTTTATTTATTAATGGATAATGAAGCTAATAAGTAAGTTTTATTAAATTTCTTTCATTCAATATTTTTTGTTAAACTAAGTCAAGAACAAATATTTTCTTTTGTTTTGTATTAGCTTTTGTTTTAAAAATTATTTTATTAATTATCATATTTCATTAATTTTTAATTGTACTACTTTTAAAAATTATATTTCTTGCAAATATACAAACATACATATAAATAAAATTTCTGAAAATTTCTTATTCCTTTTACTATTTTATTTCTACTGTATACTTTTATCAAAAATTATGAAATCATTTTCTTTTTGTTAATCAACTATCTATAAATTCCTACTTTTTTCTAGTTCAATATTTTTTATATTGTTCTATTTCATTTGATTAATTAAGATAACATAATCTTCTAAAAAAAATATCTAAGACAATGTTTTAATATAGAAAACGATTTCACTATTTTCTTTTTTCTCTCTCCTTCTCTTTTTGTCATATCACTAATATAATTAAAATTGCAAGATTTTTTTAGTATTTTAGTAACATATATAATATAGTTTTATCTTAAATATTTATTTATATTATATTTTATCAAAATTTTATTGATAAAATATATCAAAATGATGGTGTAATGAGATATAATTAAAAAAAATTAGGAAATATGATTTAAGAAAAAAGTTAATCTTAATAAAGAAAAATAAGTAATAATATATAAAATAAAATAATGCAAAAAAATCAGTTGAAAAATACTATTATCTATTAAATAAAAAAATATATATTTTTATATAAAATATTTATTTTATAAATATATTTTATAAAAAATATAAAATATGCTCAGATAAATTTTATTAATTATATTCTAATTATTTATTTTAAAAGCGGATAAACCAAAATTCTCGTAAAAAGCGCAATTTATTCAAAAAAATAGTCAGAAAGGAGTTTTTATTTTTTTACATTTCCTAGGATAGGAAATTCATAGTGTATAAAATGGTCGAACAATCAATATATGAGATGTTCTTCTAAAAGAATTTAATTTCTTATCCTCGCAAAATCTTTTTGTTATATATTAAAAATCTATTCAAATTTAAATTAGAAAATCATAATAACAAAATGAATGTAACATTAAATATTCAAATAACATTAAATTTCAAAATATAATAGATATTAATATAAATTTTGAATATATGATGAAAAACGATATTTAAATATATATATTTAAAATACTTATTCTTATTAAATATATATATAGATATAATGAATATATATATAATGAATATATAATGAAAAAGATAACTTTTATTTATAATTTAAAATAATTTTTTTATTGATTTAAAATTATAATATAAATATTCTCTTTGCAAATAATTTCTTTTTCTATTTTTTAATATTTAATCGGATTTTTTTTAATATAATATTATTTATCAAT